TCGTAGTCTTCCTTTCCCCGTATCCCCTCCTTCTCTCGCCCCTCCTGTTCCCCTCCTACCCCCCTTCTCTTCTCTTCCTCCTTCCCCCTCCTCTTCTCTCCCCTCCATTTCTCTTTCCCCCTCTGCCCCCCTCCCCCCCCTCCCCTCTTCTTATCCCTCCTCCCATCCCCCCTACCCTCGGCGGGGTTAAAAGGTCTCCTCTGATGGTCACCCCCCCCATTTCCCCCCCCCCCCCCCTCTCTCCCCCCTCTCCCCCCTTCTCTCCTCCGCCTCGAGGGCGGAGGAGAAGCCCGCGCGCGCGTATTCGGGCGGGCGCCCTGGAGCCAGGGGCGACCCCCCCACGCAGGGGAGGGCTCGAGGATCTCCCCGGGTTGGTTGTGGGGAGGTGTGCGGTACGCCTTGCACGTTGCGGAGCCAAACACGGGAGATATCGCCCGCCCCCCCGTCGCCCAGCCGCCGCTCCCAGCGGAGGGTGGAGTCCCTACCGGAAAGGCCCCTGCGCTGGCCTCGTCCCACCTCTTCCCCTCTCTCTCCTTACCAGACTCGGAACCTTTTTGGGGTCGTCACATACTTTTGACTCCAGCCAGGAGTGGCCCGATGCGATTTCTAGCCGGTTTCTTCTTCCCCCCCTGATTGTTTTTTCTGGGCCTTCGGCTGAGGGCGTTCAGGCCTTTAGGCAGCCTGTCGCAATCAACAACAACAAGGGCTCGATGATCGAGGTCTCGGGGCTGGTGGATGCAGGATCACCACGAGCAGCGAACATGTCCATGTCCGTGCCATCACGGTCTGGACACCGAGGCGCGTTCCCATAGATGCGTCTCGCGTGGTGCACCCGTGGGTCGCTGCCAGGGAGTCCAGACCGCGAGGCCGTGGATACGGACAAGGCTTCCGCCCACGAGTCTTGGATTTCTTCGGCTCCATGTGGTGACCTCCAAGGGCCAAAGCGGTGTTTCCCCGTGCGAGCGGTGTTCGGTGACAGGGCTCGGCCTAAAGCGACTCCCACTCCATGAAGGAGTGGAGTGGGATGGAATGGAATGGTCGGTGGTCCCTGGGACGGTGAGGAGGTCTTCCCTCCTCTTTCCGAGGAAAGGATTCTCGAGACTGTCATTGCATCCCCGAGGAGGAGAACGAGGAGGAGGGGGAGGAGGAAGAAGAGGAGGAGGAGGAGGACGTGAACGAGGACGTTTCCTCAACCTCTTCCTCATCTCCTCTTCTCTTCTCTCGTTCTCCTCTTCCCCTCCTCCTCCTCCTCCTCCTCCTCCTCCTCCTCCTCCTCGTTTTCCTCCTCCCGTTCCCTCCTCCTGCCCCGCCGCTGGCCTCCGCAGGAGACGCTCCCCGCATGCGCGTGGAGCGGTGTCGGCACCTGTCCTGTCGTGTGCTTTCCCTCCCCCTCTGTCCTCCTCCCTCTGTCCTCCTCCCTCCCTCCCTCCTCTTCCCGTCCCCCCCTCCCCCTCCTCCCTCTCCTCCTCCCTCCCTCCCTCCCCTCCCTCCCCCTTCCTTCCCGTTGGAGAAGGAAGTCGGAGGAGCCCCCCGGCTGGGACAGCTGATGGTGCCCCGGGCGCCCCCCCCCCCCCGCCCCTTCGCGACGGCGGGGGAAGGCCCTGCGACTTCCCGCTCGGCCGCCCGTGCCTCCAATACCGCCAGCGGCTCAAGGACGGACTTGCGCCCCCCCCTCTCCCACTCGTCGCTGGCGATCGTGCGCCCCCCCCATCCCCGAGATCTAGAATAAATGGGCCCCTCAGAACAGGAGAGGAACTCGGGCCCCCACCCCCCCGCTTTTTCATCCCGGTGCCACATCTTGACGCCACTAGGGCCAGAAGGCGGCTTCCGGACGCCGTTTACAGCTCAAATAGCGAAACCCGTACCGTTTCGTTTCGAGTCGTTGGATGCCGAGATTTTTCCCCTCATAAGCATGAGCATGCATCTGAATGGTTGTGCCCGAGGGTCTTACCCGAGGGAATGAGCAACGCACATGTTCCGTGCCTCTATGTCCCGCAGTCTATCTGGATCACCTCTGGCATACGAAATGTCCTAACCATTCTGTGGTATTGGGTCCTCGGTTTGAAGATACAGCGCCCCGCGCTCCTCACCTCTCGCCCTTCCCCCCCGCTGCCCTCCTGTCTCCTCCCATCCCTGCCTTTGCCCTCCGCATGTCAAACATTGCGGCGCACCCTTCACGCGTTCCGAGACCCCATAGGGAGCTCCACCTACCGCCCCAGTGGCGACGTCACACCCGTTGCGGCATACTTCTCACGCGTTTTGTGGCCCCCATGGAAAGTTCCACCTACGGCCCCAGTGGCGACATTCGAATGTGGGCGTCACGTCCGTTTCGGCCTATCCTGCACCTCCCCTGACGCACTTCGTGGGCCCATAGTATGCCATAGAGGGCTCCACCTGCAGCCCCAGTGGCGACGTTCGCATGTGGGCGTCACGCCCGTTTCGGCATGCCTCTCACGCGTTTCGTGGCCCCACAGGGGGCTCCACAGTAGGCCCCAATGGCGACGTTCGCATGTGGGCGTCACGCCCGTTTCGGCACATCCCTTGCGCGCTTCGTGGTCTCATAGGGATTCCCCAGTGGCGACGTTCGCATGCGGCCCCCCCCATATCGGCACGCCCCCTACGCGTTGCGCGGCCCCCATAGAGAGCTCAGCCGAAGGCCCCAATGGCACGGTCCGCATGTGGCCCCTATCCCCCCCCCATTTTGGCATGCCCCTCGCGCGATTTGCGGCCCTATGGGGATATCCACCGAAAGCCATACTCACAGCTGCGGTACTCACAACTGCATATAGTTGGGTCCTTCGCCTGGATATGGTTTTCTCTGAGCGTTCCAGCCTCCGCGGGGGGAAGAGGTGGTCGAAACCCATCCAGAGAAGAAACTTGTGGGAATCAATCACTTGGCCAACCCCTGCTGAAAGCGCCATCCCACGAAGCATGCGCCAGAATAGTTGTTCTGTCTGCTCGTTGCGCTGCGGGAGAAAAAGAACTCCCCTCTTGTCACCACCGGCTGTGCATACAGGTTTGCGCCGCGTCGATGCGGAGGCGACCCCAGCGTGGGCCTTCAAGGCTGAACGCTGACAGCGGTCCGAACCAGCCGACACCGAACGATCTGCGTTATCGGAAAGCCGCGATCGTTCAAGGCGCGAAGGGCCGTCACGGCGCGGGTTCAGGAGTCGATCCCCCTTGCCTTTACAGGTGTTTGTTATTGGTGGCGGCGTGTTTTCAATACGTCGGAGTTCTGGGTGTCGAGACCGTCGGATGTTCTTCGTCGCCGCCGCCGCAGCGGTTGCCGAGGACGTGCCCGTCGGCTTCTGCAGGCGCTGCGACGCCGCGAGCCGCTGGCCGGCGATGGGGAGGAGGCCGGGGGCCACGCTGGGCGGCGGCAGCAGGACCCGTTGCCCTGGAACCGCCGATGGTGTTCCAAGTACCAAAGACGCCTACGGCGAAGCACCATCTTGGGCGAATTTCGGGTCGTCCTGGACACGGTGGCGCGTCAAGTCTAGATCCCAGTCGGAGCCTTCTGGAAAGCATGAGATCTGCACCGCACACACCCTGAGATTTAGCATGCCGTTTCCTCTGTGGCAAGCACAGGGGGCGGCGGATCGAATACGCCTACTGCGAATCACCGCCGCCCCCTGCCTTTTGGAAACGCCCATGCGGCCAAACGTTGGGCCGAAGTCTGGCTAGGCTCTTGGACACTGTGTTCCGCCAACCGTTGTGGAACCCCTTGGAGGAACACTTGGGAGAGGAAGGGAATGGAGGAGAAGGAGGAGGAGGAGGAGGAGAAGGAGGAGGAGGAGGACGAGGAGGAGAAGGAGGAGAAGGACCAGTGTAAACCCAAGAGTCACCAACGATGTTGGAATAAACCCTTCCCCCAAGCTTCCTCTTCATAGGCAACGGTTCACGTCAACAGAGGGACCTGCCTCGTTGGAAGAACCGTTTGAAGACCTAAGTATGCCAAGACATGATTCTCGGTATTCCAACGCCACGGATGAAACCGATTGGTGCGTCTTGACGATCCTGAATCGTGCCAGAACGCCATGCCTGGGGCCTCAATTCCGCGAATCATCGTAACCGTTGCGCCTCAAAATCGTGAATCCTTCCACACAAACTATGTCTCTTACGTCGATCATGGGAACCCGTGAAACTCTTATAATTTTGTATCAAGAATGTGCGCGGCGCTAAGGCGAGAGGGACAGTTTGAAAAGGAGCCGCCCTCAATCCGTGAAACTCTTGCAACGCTTTAAACGAATGTGCGCGGCGCTAAGGCGAGAGCCACATTTTGAAAACGACCCGTACTCAATCCGTGAAGCTCGAGCAAATGTTTAAAATGAATGTGCGCGGCGCTGAGGCGAGAGCCACATTTTGGAAACGACCCGCCCTCCATCTGTGAAGCTGTTGCCAATGTTTAAGCTTCAGGGTCATACATGGTGAGGAAGCCTCAGGCGACACGCCCGGCCCGCCGTAAAAATTAGAGCCGGAGTGCAGTATCCCAAAACAGGGTTTTAGACCCACTGCGGTTTCCAAGGTCGATCGCGTGCCCGTCCAGTGCGGACTGGCATGGCATGTTCAGCATGATTACATGATGTTTGTACATGAGATCTTTGCACGAAAACTTGTGTGACGCATACCTATCAGGAAGGTAACGGTAGAGGGTGTCGTACTCTCTCGCACCTGGTCGACGAGTAAGCTGTCGGGTCGGCACTGTGAGAGGCTCCGCCGCCATGCTGAGAACTCGGATGCAACTGTAAGAGGAAGAGGGGGAGGGCGCGGAAGCGGGGGGGCATGTCGTGATGGTTCCCCCGGGGATGATATCGAGAGGTACGTGGCGCACGTCTCAAAAGAAAAACCGTGGCGTCGGATGTCTGGGGAGGGCGGAAGGCAGTGCGCGCATGACGGATGCTGAGGCGGCAGAAACGACGACGGTGGGGACGGGGAGGCGGAGGCAGAGGCGCAGCAGCGGGAGGCGGGAGGCGGGAGGAGGGAGGAGGGAAGAGGAGCCAGGCGGGAAGTGGGAAGAGGGAGGCGGGAGAAGGAATGAGAGAGTTTGTGATTGGAGGCCATATGCAACGAAACGTTTCAGGCTGAACTGGCCAGACCATCTCGCGCGCAACATCTTCGAGCCTCGCATTGCGAGGATGGCTCAATCGAAACGGGCCGGACCACCTCGCGAGCGACATCTTGGAGCTCAGTATTGGAAGGATGTCTCAAACGACACGGGCCAGACAACCTCTCGCACACGTTCTGACAAGTCCACGTCACACCCGCTTCCCGTTAGGCCCTCTCCTGCAACTCCCTTCCTTCTCTCCTCCTCCTCCTCCTCCTCCTCCTCCTCCTCCTCCTCCTCCTCCTCCTCCTCCTCCTCCTCCTCCTCCTCCTCCCCCCCCTCCTCCTGCCTGCTCCCTCATCCACATCATCCGCCTCCTCCTTCCCTGTTCCATCTCCTTTTCCTTCTCCTCCTCCTCCTCCTCCTCCTCCTCCACCTCTTCATCCCGAACGGCATCTCGGAGCCTAGAGTTGCGAGGATGTCTCCAGCGTAACGGGCTGGACCACCTCGCGCGCGGCATCTCGGACCCGCGACGATGTCTCGGGCGAAACGTGCTGCGAAGAAGTCTCAGGCGAAACGGGCCGGACCACCTCGAGCGCGGCATCTCAGAGCTCCGAATTGTGGGGGCCTCCTGGTGCCTCCAGGGGCCTCCTGGGGACCTCCTGGGGCTTCCTCCTGGGCCTCCTGTGGCCTCCTGAACTCCACCTGGGGCTTCCTGAAGCCTCTTGGGGCTCCCAGGGGGGATATCTAACCTGTAGCCGTTTGGGCCCCTCAAAATGAGGGGGGGGGGGGGGCACAAGAGCAGGAAAAATCAACGAATCGACACCAGATGTGTATTAACATGGACACGTTCTGATAGGGGGCCTCCTGGGGCCTCCTGGGAGCCTCCTGGGAATCTCCTGGGGACCCCTGGGGCCTGTCCTAGGCGTCCTGCGGCCGTGGTCTTCTGGCCCCCCAGGCTGGACCACCTCTTGCGCGGCATCTGGGAGCTCAGAGTTGCGAGAATGTCTTGTGCGAAACAGGCCAGACCACCTTGCGCACGGCATCTCAGAGCTCAGAGTTGCGAGGATGTCTCAGGCGAGACGGGCCGGACCACCTCGCGCAGGGCATCTTAGAGCTCAGAAGTTCGAGGATGTCTCAGGCGAAACGGGCCGGACCACCTCTCGCGCAAGGCATCTCAGAGCTCAGAGTTTCGAGGATGTCTCAGGCGAAACGGCCTGGACCACCGCTCGCACGGCACCTCGGGGCTCAGAGTTTCGAGGATGTCTCAGGCGAGACGGGCCGGACCACCTCGCGCGCGGCGTTCTGGAGCGCAACTTTTCGAGCATGTCTCAGGCGAAACGGCCCATCCCGGCCAACTCAGAAACGAGAGTTGTGAGGATGTCTCAAGCGGAACGGCCTGGACCATCAGATTTTTGTGAGGATTCTCTGTTCCCCTTTCCCTCGGCCGAAGCTAGCTTCTATCACAACAGCACCCCGTTCAGCAAGCTGTTTGGGGAAAAACTGGCCTGGGGGTGCGACAGGGAGAAGTTGTTTGAAAGGAGAAGGAATGGAGGAGGAGGAGGAGGAGGAGGACGAGGACGAGGAGGAGGAGGAGGAGAGTGACGAGAAGGAAAGACCCAGGAGGAGGACGAGAAGGATGATGATGATGATGATGATGATGATGATGATGATGATGATGATGATGATGATGAGGAGCAGGAGGAGGAGGAGGAGGAGGAGGAGGATGATGATGATGATGATGGTGGTGATGATGATGATGATGCTGATGCTGATGCTGATGCTGATGCTGATGCTGCTGATGATGATGATGATGATGATGATGATGATGATGATTATGATGATGATGATGTATGATGATGATGATGTTGATGAGATGATGATGATGATGATGATGATGATGATCGCCATGCGAAAGAGCGGTTCTACCGCTGCTGGCGGAAAACCGGGGGGGGTCACTTTTTTTTTTTTATTTTATTACTTTTTTTTTATACCGGTTCGAACCCTCCCCCCCCCCTCCCCCCCCCCCCCCCAGCTCATCATGAAAAGGGGGGGGGTCACTACCGGTTCGAACCCCTCCCCCCCTCCCCCCCCTCGAAAACCGAAACCGGGGGGGTCACTACCGGTTCGAACCCCCCCCCCCCTCGAAAACCGAGTGGGGGTGCGGACAGTGGTGGGGACGGTGTTGGTGGGGACAGTGGTGAGGGGATAGCGGGACCGTGGTGGGGACAGTGGGACAGTGGGACAGTGGTGGGGACGGTAGTGGTGGGGACAGTGGTGGGGACAATGGTGGGAACAGGGAGGGACAGTGGACAGTGGTGGTGACGGTGGTGCTGGGGACAGTGGTGTGGGGACAATGGGAATGAGGTGGAAACAGTGGGACAGTGGAGGGTACAATGGTGGTGGGGACAGTGGTGAAGGCGGTGGCGAGGACGGCGGTGGGACAATAGGACAGAGGTACAGTGGGGACAGTGGTGGGGACAGTGGGGACAGTGGTGGGAACAGTGGGACAGCTTCAGTGGGACAGCGGCGGAGTCAGTGGGACAGTGGGGACAGTGGGGATAGTCGGGCAGTGGTTGGGGCCGTGGAGACAGTGGGGAGAGTGGAACCGTGGTGGGAACAGTTCTGGGGACAGCGTGGACAGTGCGACAGTGGTGGGGGCACTGGCGGGGACAGTAGGGGCAGTGGTGGAACCAGTGGGGACAGTGGTGGTGAGGACAGTGGTGCTGGGAACACCAGTGGGGGATGTGATGCGGACGGTGGTGGGGACCGGGACGTCGAGGGGGGGGGTTCTCGAACCGGTAGTGACCCCCTCCGGTTTTCCGGATCCGGAGGGTCGGGGGGGGGGGGGGACGGGTTCGAACCGGTAGTGACCCCCCCCGGTTTTCCGGATCCGGAGGGGGGAGGGGGGGGGGAGGGGTTCCGAACCGGTAGTGACCCCCCTTCGGTTTTCCCGGTTTTCCGAGGGGGGGGGAGGGTTTCGAACCGGTAGTGACCCCCCACGGTTTTCTGGAGGACAGGGGGGGGGGATGGGGGGGGTTAGGGGAGGGGAGGGGTTTTGCCGGGGGAGGGGGGGTATTCCAGCAGGGGGGGGATTTTCGGAGGGGGGGGGGACCCCCGGGCTCCGGAGGAAGAGGGGGGGGAATCTTCCACAGTAAAGCGGCGGTTGATCACGCTCTCTCTGATGATGATGATGATGATGATGATGATGATGATGATGATGATGATGATGATGATGATGATGATGATGATGATGATGATGATGATGATGATGATGATGATGATGATGATGATGATGATGATGATGATGATGATGATGATGATGCTGATGAGGATGAGGATGAGGATGAGGATGAGGATGAGGATGAGGTTGAGGATGATGAATGATGGTGGTGGTGGTGGTGGTTGATGATGATGATTGATGATGATGATGATGATGATGATGATGGTGGTGGTGGTGGGTGGTGATGATGACGATGGGTGGTGGTGATGATGATGATGATGACGATGGATGATGCTGATGATGACGATGATGATGTGCTGCGGGCGATTGATGAATGATGATGATGATGATGAGGATGATGAGGATGATTATGAGGGATGAGGTGGGTGCTGAGGGGAGCGGAGTAGGAGGAGGAGGAGGAGGAGGAGGCGGAAGAGAAGAGGAGGAGGAGAAGACGATGGAGGAGGAGGAGGAGGAGGAGGAGGAGGAGGAGGAGGAGGAGGAAGTAGAGGAAGAGGAAGGGGTGGGCTCTTGAGGGCCTCTTGGGGCCTACTGGGGCCTTCCTGGGAGCCTCTTGGGTCTCTGGGGGGCGTCTTGGAGAGCTTCGGGTGCCTCGTGGGGCCCTCTTGGGGCCTCTTGCGGGTCTCTTGGGGGCCCTTGGGGGCCTCCAAGGGTCCACGGGACATCTTGGTTTCTCGGGGGCCGTCTTGGGGCCCTCCCTGGGCAGTCTTGGGCCGGCTTGGAGGTCTACGGGGCCGTCTTGGCGGTTTCTTGGGCCGCCTGGGAGCTCTTTTGGGCTGTCTTGCGGGCCTTTTGGGAGTCTCTCGGGCCGTCTTGGGAAGACATTGGGGGCTATAACCCCGTCTTGGAGCGTCGGGAGCCCGAAAAGGGGAGAACGCACAACTCGCTGAAACACCGAATGGACATGAATGAGGTTAGCCTCCTGGATGTCCTCTTGGAGCCCTCTTTGGGCGTCTTGAGGGCATCTTGGGCCGCCGTTGGGCAGTCTTAGGGCCGTTTTGGCCGTGGGGACCATCTTAGCCGTTTCGGAAATACCTTGGAGTCCATCTTGTAACCATCTTGGCCGTCCTGGAGGCGAGTTGTTGCCAGGTTCCCGCGCAATGTGCGTCCTTCGGGGTTGGTGGCCGTTGGTCGGGATCGGCCGAAGGCCCACTGATAACCTTCCAAACGGGCCAGCAATGTCGTTACCTAGAGTTCAGCACATCGTGCACCCCTGTGGCAAGCCGACAGGGGGCGGCAGGTCCAGGGGCCTGCGGCCCATCCCGCCACCGTGCCTGGGTCCCCCATTGAGCCGATCAGTGGGAAGGACGTGCGGGCGGGAGGACGCGCGATGGGTCCGACAGGGAGAGAATATTTGCAAAAGGAATGGAGGAGGAGGAGGAGGAGGAGGAGGAGGAGGAGAAGAGCAGGAGGAGGAGAAGAGCAGGAGGAGGAGGAGGAGGAGGAGGAGGAGGAGGAGGAGGAGGCAGAGGAGGAGGAGAGGAGGAGGGAAGGCAACGTTCGACGAACTGTCTTGCCTTCAGCGCTTCAGGAGGAGGAGGAGGCGGAGGAGGAGGAGGAGGAGGAGAAAGGAACGGAGAGGGGGAAGGCGGGTGGCCGCGGACCGCCATGCCCTGCCGCCCTCTTTTGAGCATTGGTCTGCCTTGCCACGCGCGCGGCAGGAGCAGCAGCTTCCCGAACCTGAGCGGCCCGGCGCGGAGCGAGGGCCACGGGAGCCCCGCCGTGCCCCGCCGCCTCCGCCGCCCGTCGGCTCGCTCCCTCGGCCGCCTCCTCCTCCTCCTCCTCCTCTGCCTCCTCCTCTGCCTCCTCCTCCTCCTCCTCCGCCTCCTCCTCCTCCTCCTCCTCCTCCTCCTCCTCCTCCTCCTCCTCCTCCCGCTCCTCCTCTTGCACCTGTTCCCGCTCCTACCCTGCACGAGCTTCCCGAGCCGAGCTGCCCATGCCCCTTCCCGTGTGCCTTTTGGGTCGTGTCGGAGCGATCCTGGGGCCCCCTTGGGGCGTGACGATTTTTCGTCAATCGACTTGCGGCGACCAAACCAGATAAATTCATGTGAATCCAGGTGCATCGAGGCATGTCCAAACACATCGAGGTAAGTTCAGAGATATCCAGATAAATATGGAGCATTTCGTGAACGATCCAGCGCGAGTCGAACGACATCCGGAGTCGTTAAGCCACCCTGAGGGTGGAAAGGCGAGTGCATCGATCATGCAGAGAAGCCAGTGACGAGTCAACGATGTTCGCCTCTTGGCGCCCTCTTGTGGGTCCTCTTGGGGCTCCTCCTGGGCCGTCTTGAGAGCCTCTTGATATGTGTGTGTGTGTGTGTGGAAGCCGTCTGGGGCCCATCTTGGGCCGTCCTGGGGCATTTGTGGATCGTCGTGAAGCTTCCCCACACGCCCAGGAGCCCCAAGATGTCGGCACATTCTTTGTAGACAGCCGACCCCTCCCACGGGATGCCTGGACTATCCGCTCGCCTTCGATCATGACGTTTTGACATGTACTTATCTCGTACCGCCGTGGATCCTGCACATCAGTTCGTGCCATCCTAGCCCGGCCCGGTGACGGCTCGCTAGCGAGCAGTGCGTCGCACACGCTTTAATCTGACAGTTGCGTCGCGGATCAAACCGTTTCACATAATTCCATGCGGGCCACATGCGCGCGCGCCCCCGCACGCGCACGGCTGTTTTTTCTCCCGCCATCGAAACAGTCATCAATCATCAAAACATTGCCACCCTTCTTCGCGTGCGCACTCGCTGAAGCCTTACTCCAGATTTCGTAATAAAAGGGAGGGGGTCTGGACCCTCCAAGACAAGCCATTTCAGACCTCCCCCGTGGGAGAACCCTCCAAAACATCGCCCCCAGACCCCCCTGGCCCTCCAAGATAGCCTGGAAGAGACCCCCCCTCCCGAAATGAGACCCCCCTCCCTTTATTACGAAATCTGGAGTACGTAGTCGATCGCATTCGTTGTGCCATTTCTGGCAAACGAGCGACGCAGAGCAACGGGGTCGTCTTCGCCGACATTCGAGCGCAAGCTGCCCGCGTAAGGCCGGGCGTAAGCGCTTTTGTCTCCAATGTAGCGTGCCGCGCTGGCGGCCTGCGTAAGCCGCGGCGCAAGGTCGCGGTGCCATCTCGCGTGAGGCCCGTCTTTGATCGTCGCCCTTGTGAGACCATGCGGGCCGCACGCGCGCACGTGCCGAAACGTTCGTCAAGCAGCAATACCGTGCGGACCGCGCGCGCGTTTCCGTGCGCGTTGTTCGGCCTCTTTCCAATTCAATTGGTTTCGAACCATTGCAACACAGACGTTTTTGCAACAACGCATGACACACACATACACACTTGTGCTGCATGTGACGCTGTGCCAGGCGTTCAGAATATGTTCCTGGCATCTTTGCATCCAGCCGAAATTTCTCCTGGTTGCCAATCGTGCGTGCTTCCGCACGTTCCACAGGCATGCAGATCGACACAGGCAGGATACGCCCGAGAGAGGTGTACGACGACCTCGATGAGGGCGAGGCAGCAACGAGGCAGAACCAACGGCAACTCCAGGAGTTCAGGAGTTAGAGAGTAGTGGATCCTGCCAACGCAATTCTGTTCGTGGCTAACAGGTTGGCCATCGGTGGCAAGGTCGACGATGTCTCGCTCAGAAATTGCACGCGGCAGATTTACAGCAGGCGCAGGAGGAGGTGGCAGTGGTGAGTTGAGGGGTAGATGCGGAACCCATACGTCCAACGATTTCGTGCACCCATCGAAACGGAAGTGTTGCGTAGTGGGTGGGTTCCCCATGTTTTCGGCGGTGGACCTCTTTCCAGCGACCATGCGGAAGGCTGTTTCTGCAAATACAGGACAGGGAGCAGTGTTCAACGGTGATGTATCGATGGTGCCATTGCCGCAGGAAGCTACAGCAGGTTGGGGTTGGGTAGTATCCGGCTCGTGGGTTCCAGCACTGTGTGAATTTGGTTCTTGTCCGAGGCCCCCTGCTCCACTGTTCCGTAACATCGACAAAACGCTTGAGGAGCAGACTATCAGCCAAACGGCAAATGTAGCAATGAAGGGGGTGAAGGATTTGGCGATCGCACAAGGGCGCATGACGGCGGCGAGCACCAGGGCGGACATCGTGGTCTACTTGGTAGCCACAAGGCGTGACCAACCGTTCGTATCAGGTTCCCACGAGAGGAGGCATGCTTCAAGGGGGAGATGGTGCCGCGAGTAGTGACGTGGACGGTCGTTATGCCGAGCAACACCTTGTCCAAATTCTGGCGACGGAGAATGGGGATGTCTCCTGGAGCGCAGGAGCAGCTGATGAGTTATATATAAGTATACATACTTTCTGCCTTGAACTTCCTGGGGGGAGGGCTCACGTGGGGCATCCAATTTCTGCAATATTTCACAGGATCCTTCGCTCGTTTTGGATACTGCATGCCATGGGCATGCGCTGTGCCTGAGAGGCCCGCATAACGGGACGCGCAGCATGGCGATTCTGGTTCATCGTCTTTGTCCAGCAAGCGTCATTGGCACTAGAGATGCGGGGCGTCTCTGTTCCCTGGATGCGAATTCGCTTCCTATCTTTTGCAGGCTGATTTTGTGCCTGTGGCGAGAGGCTCATGACCTACCGACTGGCTGGCAGTGGGTATTCTGCAGGGTTCGAGTCAGGGTGAGCGTGATTCGAACATGGAGATTTCCCAGGGCGTTCAGCGCGCGACCGAAGACTGATCAAATGAAGTGGCAGCCTGACTGGGCCGTGATATAAGAGGAGTCTTGGTAATCGAATTGATTTTTCTTTCGGTGCTTGTTCAAATGGATAGTCGCAGCGGTCTCAACGTTCGGCGGGTTGGAGGTGGGGATGGGGGTGGGGGTGGGGCGAGGTGGGGTCGGGCGGGGTGGGTGGGGGTGGGGTGGGGTGGGTGGGTGGATGGGGGGTGGGTGGGTGGGGGGTGGGGGGTGGGCGGGGCTTGCGATTGCGACGTGAAGTGCTCGTCCAAGGAGGTGGACATCATGCGCGCATCCGACCGTCTTCGGCATCGTGGAGAGATGCGTTTGCTGAGTCGCGATGGAAACGCGTCCGCATGCAGGGGGTTGGCGCGTGCGTTGGGACCTCGTCAAGATGTGGATGAACGTTTCTCTCGCCGTTGCCAACCCTGCTGACTCAGGCTGGCCGCGTGGAATTCGGGGGGGCTGCCTTGCAACGCGCGTGTCCCAGATAAGTTGGCATTGTCATCGGCGCCGCATGATGAGAAACGCCCGTCGCGAAGCGGATGCGCGGCCGTTGCGAGATGGTTGGCTGGAGTTGATAATCCGGCGCCAGGGCGGGGGGGGCGCGCGCGCGGGGGCCGACGGCCCAGCTGCGATTGACCAGAAGTCCTGTGATGTCATCTATGCCGCCAGGTGCGCCGACATAGCCGGCGGATTCTCGGCCGCGGTTGAAGCGCGTTTTCACTTCTTTGCGATGCCCCGCGTTTCCGAAGCGGAGCTCGGCGGCCCCCCTCCTGGCCGATCGCGAGGCGGGGGCGGCGCGCGCGTGCCGACCCCCGTGGAAAATATGGGCTTGCTGCGCCTGCCCGCCCACAGCGGGGCGAAATGCGAAGAGTTTTTGGGGTTTTGCGGGCCCGAGGCAGCGGTGGGAACGGGGCGGCGGTGGTCTTTCCAGGGGGCGGGGGGGTCAAACAGACGCGCCCAAAGACAGGCGCGGCCGATCAATCGCGCTCGCTGCGCGGGGTGGGTTGAGCAATGTCCGGAAGCTGCGTCGTTTCAGACCCGGTGCGCTGCTGCGCGAATTTCAGGCTGTCAGGGGCCCATCGCTCCAATCTTCCGCGCCCCGTGCTTCGAGGCTCTCGCGAGAGGACTTCGCGATGGCGATCTCTACAGTGTCGCCTCGACGCGTCGTGCCGCCGCTGTTCGGATGGCAGAGCTCGAGGAGGAGCAGGTGGTTGCGCGACTCCGAGGGGTCGAACGTGAGAGGGGGGCGTGAACGTGAGAGGGGGGCGTCGGCGCGCGGGGGGGGAAGGGCTGGGCTACCCGCCAATATTGCACGCTGCAGCGTCAGACTGCAGAGGTTTTTAATTCGAGCGGGGCTGAGCGCGATTGCGCGGGGGAAAGCCAGGGGCCCCTGACCGCGGCGCGGGGCCGGATCGCCTTGGGATCTCAGGGAAGACAGAGGTGGGGAATATTCCGAGCATGAGGACAATGTCGAGGTATTTGCGCAGTTTTACCAGGAATTGTTTGCTCTAAAGTTCTTCGATCTGGTGTTTTCGAGAAGATAATCAAACATACAACCAACAAAACTGACCTGTCGGGCACGGGCGGCCCTGCCTCTGGTCGCGCCTCTTGCCGGCTGCTCCCTGGGCGTGGATTGGACTGCCGCCCCAGGCCGCCCCCGACCACCCTGTGGCACAACGCTGCACATCGCCTTCGTCGTTCTCCCTTTCTCCCGGGCCCCCCCCTCACCATCCGGTGGCGCAACGTTGCTCATCGACTTCATGGTGGACTTCTCCCCCCTGGACGTCGACTTGGTCGCGTGCAACTTCTTCTTTCGCAGCGCTTGAGGATGGTGGTTACGGGGCGCCGTCGACGGCAACGCCGCGCCGCTCACCCTCCGAGTCTTCGCCTTCGGCTCCTGTCCAAGGCGCTCCTTTTCCTGTGCAAGCTCTTCGGCGCCGCCTGCACCCCGGCCCGCCCTCCGGCCGCCTGAGGCCCCGCCCGCCTGTGCCCTGCCCCCCCGA